ATAAGTTTTCAAAATTTTTAATCCAAACTTTGAAACATAATTTTAATGTTGTTTATGACAATTGGCTTTTCTACTCCAAGTCTCTAATAGAGACTTCATTGAACAGCAATACTCTATGGTATTTATGTTTTATGTTAATTCTGTTGTGAATGTTCACAAAAACAATTATTGCGATAAAAACAATGGCATAAAGTATCCAAACATATGCGTCCACTTGTAAAAAGTTGTCCATTAAATGGGTGTGCGATACGGTTTGTTGCGATTTTGTAATTGCTATAAAATCTGTGGACATTAGACCCTCGGAAAAGGCGATTCTATGAGCCCTTTCTGGTGTCGCCAACAGTGGACTCAAAGTCATGTCAGCTCTCTATCCATAAATTCATGATTATTATTAAAAAATCTTAATAAACAATGTTTTTAAAGCATACATTGTTTTCAAGCATTTCCACCATTTCATCCCAATTGTTAGACTTAGTCCTAATAATGTCAAAACTGTTCTTCCAATTAAACATAACATTTAATTATTAATTTTTTAATCAATTTTATCGTTACTTTTACCTTGAATTCAATGCTTTGCTTAGAATACAAAGAAAGTGTTCAAAATTTCCTTTTAATTGAAACCCATTTTCATTTTCAACGAATGAAACCATTGGTCTCCACTATTGTCCGCACAATGTTAACCATCATTGTTAATAAATGTCAATAATTGTTTAATTTGTATTTTTAAATATAGTATACAATACCTGAATTGCAGCTAATTTTAAAATCATTTTCAATATCTTGGAAATAAACTAAGAAATGAGTGAATTTTTATTTACATATTTATGTGCAATATTACTTTTGACATTAACTATTGTTAAGAGAAAGTATTAAGAAAGCCATGAAATGCATTAGACAGGTGAACGAATGCCCATATTTACTATTATGATCATTTTATGCGAGAATATTTCACATTAATATTATTGTTATTTTAATGTCATTTTATAATAAGAAAGTTGTTAGCATATATTTTTAATGTGTTATTTATTAAAGCATTGATATTTATGCATTGTTCTGTACTGTATTAACATTTTCAATAGCAATCAATATTAAGCACCGTTTAATTTATTCTGTTATTACAAAATAATATTAAATAAACACTGTTACACAATGTACTGTAAATGGTATATGCAAATATTAATTAGTTTATTAATTTAGCAAATTTTATTTCCCTCATTAAATATGTGTATAATTTTCAATACAAATTACAGGCGATTCTTATAACTTGACAACAATTTTTCCGTTTTGTGTCAAGTCCTTAATGGCAGTCATACCGATGTCATCGACCGAGCGTTTATCGGCACAATCGCCCCCTTCGTTGTACTGCCAACTCAGAGCCCCCGCGTATTTGGCGTCATATAATTGACCATAATTTTTACTCGCGTTTAAACTCTCGCTGCAAACGGTGGCGAACTCGCCCACAACCAGCGCTTTGGGCGACTTGTAATCGGCGTTACTGTGTTTGAATGGACTCGTCGGCGAGTATTTGCCAGACGGCGTGTGCGGCCACGTGTATGAATGCAGGCAATAAAAGTCTATTTACGTCAACAAAATGACAGATAATTACTTTGACAGACAATCGTACCTAAAGTTCCGTTGGATTTGCCGCCCGATTCCCGCAGACAAGTGTCGCTAAAATAATTGTTAGTATTGTTGGCGATGTTTGTTAGCGTCAAATCGCTGTCGCCAATAGTGACCAACGCTTTCGGATCAGCCGTTTTGATGGCATAGGCGTGAAGGTTGACAAAGCGCTGCACGTCTTTCAATTTCAAATGCGTTTGCGTCCAATCGGTGCCCGAATTCTTGAGTCGAGTCGTATCCCAACACCGATTCCCGTCGACAGTGTTGTCGGCGATGGAGCCCTGCGGCTCATTAATCACATCCCACGCGGCCAATGACTTCTTACCCTTAAGCCCAGTGACCAACGGTTTGAGCACTTTCTCCAAATACGAGTCCAATTTGTTGGGATCGGTGTATAAGTGAA